AAATATGAATAATGTCAATGTTGGGAAAAAGTTTTGGGGTTATAGGAATTACATAAATCAATTGGACAAAAGATGCAATTTTTTCAAGCGGGTAGGTGATAAAGTTGTTGATGGAAGGGATTTGAAGATTGAAAGGTAAAGGAAGAAAGTATTCAAGTTGAAGAATGAGGTTTTGAGCATAAGAGGAATGTTGAAAAATTCAATTTTATTTGGCATTATTAGCTCAGGGTTTAATATAGCTTTTGTAATAATGTAATTGAAATAGATTTGTGGGCCATACATCATGTAATTTGATGTTATGAAAGTATGTATGTTTGATGTTGATTAAATGAAATGTGTTCAATGTTATAATTGGTATCCAATGTTTAAACATTTTTGTTCTGGTATGAATTACTGGTTTGTAATGTTGTAAAATGTTGATTTAAGTGAAACAAAAATATTATACAAGGGACTTAACTGAAACAATGTAATAAAATAGGGATTGTGTTTTATATATGGTTCTATGTTAACATAAAGATGTTTGCAGTTTTATGTTGAATCATGTAAAAAATAAGTTGATGAATATTTCTTTAACAAAATATTTTGCATTATAAAAGCACGTGTTCTTTGACACTAATACAAAAGGGCATAATGTTAGGATTCATTTCCACTAATACAAAAGCCTAATTTAGTGTTCATTGACACTAATACATAAAAGCTTAATTATGTGTTCATTGACACTAAGTTACACAAACAAGAAAATGTGAAATTGGATCAAGTTGCAGTTGCTTCAGACTGACTTGCTTCAGGATGAGTAGGTGCATGCTGACTTACTTTGAGATGCTTCAAGCTGATTTGGACTAGGCTGACTTGGTTCAGGTTGAGTGGTCTGACTTAGTGTTGGAAGTTTGCAGGTTGCTTTGTTGTACCACATCATCATGTGCCATACTGCACTTGATGCCAAAGTTAGCTCTCTTTAACTGAGTCTCATCCCTTATACTCTCTAATGCATCGATAGTCTTTTTCTTCTTTGGCCTTCCTGGTTGCCTTTTGATTGGTGGTGGTTGTAATTCAACATAGCATTTTTTTCATGCAAGGTATTACATGACAACATGGTAAACCTGTCAGCATCTATCTCTTATAAGAACACGCCTTGGTGGACAAATTCACAATATATTTTTCTCCAATATATGAGATGTGCCTCACCTTATAATCATACTCATATGCATGCCTGTTAAATATACAACATCTCAGACACACAACTTAATAAACAAATGTAAAACACGCATGTTAATGAATATATACCACAATCCAATTGTTTGTTTTCAGATTCTTTTGCAATCTTTTTCTTGATATTGGGTAGAATATCACCTTCAAACTTGACAAATTTTTGTCTGTTTGACTCCCACCTTTGCATGAGATACACTCTAATTTCTTCAATCATTGCTATGACTGGCTTGGCCCTATCTGTCACAAACACAAAGTTGAAAGCCTCTCACATGTTGTTCACCATGGTATCACACAAAAGATTGAGTTTTAAGAAAGTCTTGGTCCAAAACATAGCTGATAACTTTATTAAATGCCTGAATGCATTTTCATTAACAACCTTCATTTCCAACATGGCTTTTTTAAAACATTTGTATAACTGGCTGTAACAGTTTTCCATATCAACTCCTTGAGTTTAATTCTTGGGAATTTCTTCCTACAGTTGTTGTATAGACGCCTTCATTTACAGACCAATAATAAACATTCAATAAACCAATAATGGACATTCAACTAACATTCATTCAATAAGGTATATACCTGTCACAAAATCTCAATGTTTTCTTCTCCACCTTGGTATGGTTGACCTGTAACTTTCACTGTTGAACCAGAATTAGACCTCAACAGTTCATGTACATAGTCATGTATTCTTTTGTACTGCTCCCTAAAAGATCCATCTACAATATCAATTTCTATAGTCTTTTCCCTGTATGCAAGAGTTTTGTCGATCCCCACATTCCATTTTTGTTGGGTCTTCTTCATGATGTCACTTAGCTTTAAACTAGGATTCTCCCTCACATTGTTCTGTATCTTAGTGTTGAGCCACTTAGTGTGAGAAAATTTACCTTTTAATCTCTACTACATGTGTGTTTATCAATAATCTTTTTGACCTACCATGTATCTTCATTTTGAATTTTTGCATAACATGCCTCCCATGGATAACCTTTTTTACATATCACTCGCATCCTTTTCTTGTGTATGGCATATGTCCTAATATCATTCTTGAAATTTTGTTTAGAAGCAAAGTATATCCCCAATTCCCACTTATAGTCATCCATCCTTTTAGGCATTTTAAAACTTTGCCAGTCTGCCTGTCCAACACAATCATCTTCACTAAAATACTCTTCAAAGCCATCCTCACTATTCTCATCCTCTATGTCACTAAAGTCCTTCAAATTTAAATTTGGTTCTTCTTCACCTGCATCACACTCATCCAAAAGACTTCTTTCACTAGATGCTTCACACTAATTAATTTTCTTACGCGGTCTTCCAACTTTCCATTTACCCTTCTCCTTCCCCTACCTTTACCCGTCCCCTTCCCCTTACCTTTACCTTTCCCTTTTTCCCTTTTTCAGACCTTTGTTCTTCAACCACCTCATCTTCAGAAACTTCATTTTCAGGAACTTGTATGTCTTTATTTATAACCACATCATCATCATCAAAATCTTTAAAATTGTTCCTCATCTATTCTCTCTTCTACCTCAATGTTACAATTCACATCCTCAACTACCTTTTTGTTACAGTTCAGTCCCTCTTCTACCTCTTTGTTACAGTTCAGTTCCTTTTCTCCCTCATTGTTACAGTTCAGTCTCTCATCTCCCTCATCATGTTCAACTACAGTGGTCCCCTCATCATGTTCAATTTAAGTGGTCCCCTCATCATGTTCAACTTCATTGGTCCCCTCATCATGTCCAACCTCAGTGTTCCCATTGTCTCTAGCTTCCACATCATGTACTACATTTGTGGCCCCCTTGTCATTTATGTTTCCTCCTTCCACATCAGCTTTAACTCCAATGTCTCCTTCATTCATAACGCTATCAAATCCAGTTTGAAACTTTTTAGTATTGTCTCCTTTATTCACTACATTCTCCACACAAGTGACCCCCTCATCATTGTTCTCACCTATCTCAATTTTAGTGGCACCTACTTCAACATTGTACTCAAGTGATAATATTGGTTCCTCAATTACATCAGCTTGTAGGATATGATGCATAACATATAAAAGCATTTCTCTAGTCAACTCATCAATTATATACATCCTCATAGTTTCACTGTCATCTTTCAACTCCACTATGTGATTACACTCCATTTGATCATAACACTAAAGGCTCTCTATAGTTGGATAACCTAAATCCTTTAATCCACCTAATACTTTAAAATAACTCCAAAAATCAGACTCAACATCCCGGTTTCCTCTAAGCCATTATAATCTAATTTTGTAAACTCAACAAACTCAACCCCATGATGAACAATGCATTTAAAATGACTATCCATGACCTAGATACAGTAACTACATGAGAGATACATCTAAGGAAGATGAAAAACCCTAAATGAGAAATACAACTAACGAAGAGGAAATAGATACAGTTTGCATTATTCATACCTTAAAATAGATGGTAGACATTGTTCTTTTTTCTCCCAGTAAGGAAAATTCCACAAACCCTAAAATGAAGAAGAACAAAAATGTATGAAACGAAAATGAAGATGATCGAAGTATCAGAAAGGAAGATGAACGAAAATGTATGAAACGAACAAACTTAACAATGGAGATTGATTAACATACCTTGACGAACGAAGATGAAGATGGATGCTAGGTTCGTTAGGGTTTTCTCACAGACAGAGCTTAAGTGAAGTCAAAATGAAACAAATTGGGTTAAAATAAAATGTTTAAAATTCATTTACTCTTTATTCAAAATGTCTTACCATAAATCAATGTCACCTAAGGAAGCCCAACTGAACTGCCACCCTATCAAAAACTAACGGAAACACACAAATTTTAACAAAAAGGATGACATTGGCTAACGAAATTACAAATAAGGGACCTGAAACAAACGTTTATTACATAAATGACTGAACTGAAAACTGAAATTAAATTAAGGGAGCAAAGAATGCATTAAGTATAAATAAAATAGACAAATGATCTAAGATGTAGTAGTAATTTAACGGTCTATTGGAAGTAGGGGTGAAAATAGGCTGGGCTGAGTTAGACTTTGTCAAGCCTAAGTCTGACCTGTCAAAAAAACCGAAGGCTAAGTCTAGCCTGTAGCCTCTCATAGACTTATTTTTAGGCCTGAGCATGACCTTTTTTAAGGTCTGGTTAACATGTTAGGCTACATAAAAGCCTAATATTTTAGACATATGTAAATAAGCAATTAAAATAATGTTTCAGTAGACTAACAAACTAGAAAACCAATGAGACTAAAATGCTGTTTGCATTGACTTATTTTGACTTACTTATCAGCAGAAGTTTTGTGAGACTATTTATTTAAGATAACTTGTGAAAACAACTTATAATATTTTAAAAGATTTTTTTATCTTATTTTCTTAAATTTTCTATGATAACAAATGTATTTTAATTTAAAGTACAAAACATAATATAATGTTAATAAAAAAATTATTAATATTTATTTAAATAGATCAATCTATTAAATTAAAAATTTTTTTTCCATAGATTGAGACCTAACATTTTTTATTAAATAAACTTATAAACTAAATCGTAGGCTTATTTCCCCTCCTAATTAGAAGCATAAAAGAAATTTGAAATCCGAAAAGAATGAAACAAAAACATTCCATTCCAGATCTACCGTCTGTCTCCCTTGACAACCCTCCTCATTCATCTTCTCAAACCAACCCCACACAAAACCCTTTCTTTCTTCTCGCTCCGGAGACTTTGATTCTCGTTCGCCTCCGTCGTGCAACCCCATTGTCTGTAACGTCACTACATCCAACCAAAGCCTCAAATCCTGCTCGTTGTCGCAATGGAGTTCACTGAATCGTACAAGCAAACGGGTCCTTCTTCTTTCTCTCCCAATGCTCGTTTCTTAGCCGTCGCTGTCGATTATCGCCTCGTCATTCGTGATACAATCTCTTTCAAGGTTCTTTCTTCTTCTGTCCTTTTCATTTCTACCAGCATTATTGTAATTTTTTTTTATATATATTTGGATTTAATGTTTTAATATTTACTCGAGTTGATCACTTTTTGCGCGGTGTCTTAAAATGTGCTTGAAATCGCCCAAGCTTTGATGAACTGATCGCGGAGACACACTAAATGTGTTAGACGAGAGTGATTAGAATTTTACCCCGTTCACGCATTGAAGATAGAATGGTGAAATTCCTTTTGTGAAGAGGTACTTGATTCGATTGGAAGAGGGCATGGAATCTCTTGGCATGCGATTGAAGAAGCTGACCTTTGAATTTGTTGTTTACAACAGAAAAATTGCTTGCATTCTCGAACAATTTCGAGAACATCTGGTTGTGGTGCTTCGTTGTTGCTCACCGACAGGAAACTATGTAACAATTCTGGGTAGAGACCAAATTGAAAGTTAGGGTTGATGGTTTCTGAAAAATATCCCCATCATCTTTGTCATCCATCTCTATCACTAAGAATCGAAGACCCTTATGTTTCTTTTCATGAACTAGGGTTAGAGGTTCACCACATAACAAACACAAACACAGGTCCATCCATCTTGTCTTCCACTTCAAGGACATTCAAATTTTTCTTTTGATTGTATTTGGCAGCCATAATTGGTTCAAAATCGAAGGCTCTATATACAAATTGAGACAGGAAAATGAATTTTAGGGATGAATCCGATAAAATCCGAGTCTTGAGAGTAGGGATTCTAATGATTTAGAATAGAATCCGATACAATAGAGAGTATTATTGAAAGATAATTCTAGAAAGAAGAAATATTTGTTATGAATTCAATATATTTATTCAATTTACTTAGATGATTATATATATGCAAGTTGGTAACAAACTCTACCAATCATTGCATTGAAATAGGGAAAATAATAACTAATTTTACTAAGATAATAAAAGCATTGCATGGAAACTTATTTGTATAAATCCGTTTTTCTATAAATCTGTTAATTTCTATCAGACTCAGTCTTTTATTTTTGAATTGAAGGGTTTGTGTAAGCATTTTCTTGGCAGCTATACCCCTCCGCATGTATCCAATTAAAGTATTGCTAAACTTTTTACATCAAATATGAAATAGTGGTGTAAGAGAGTGCAGTAAATTAGTAGCAGTTGTGATCTGATCCCGATGTAATTAATTCATATTTGATCTCAATTGAAAGAGAGTATAGAAGCTCTCATTTTCTTCATGTGAGTTCCCCTTTTTTGGTATTGTGGTTTTGTTGTTGTTTTATGGTGACATGATTGGTCATTGTTTTTGTTCTGGCTGCAACTAAGATCCATTATTATGGATGGATACGGTAACAACTTACAACAGACCAATCTTGGGTTTTTTTTTTTTACTAAACCAAAAATTGGATGCTAAAAATAAAGTTATACTAGCAATTTTCTTTTGGTTTTTGAAAATTGTGTTATGGATAATAGAGATCTTTATTTTCATGCAGTAACTTACCGTATATGCTAATATGTGAGGTCGAATTTGTATTCTAGGGGTGATTCTGGTCAATTTCAGTTCTCAAATGCAGAGAACTCAATGAATGAGCGAGTTTTTTGTTTTATAAATAATAAAATCACGTATATTAAAGAAAATGGACTAATATCCAATAAAGTCCGAATCTGAAAAGTATAAATGAAAAGGGCTAGTTGATGTTTTCTTTGATTTGTGTTTGTGCATTTCGACTCTCTTTGGTCTTAAATATATCCAATTTTCTCAATTGTTATTATCGAAGATACAATGAATTGGTTTACGATATGGAACAAACACATGTATATGTCATAGTAGATATTCATTAGTTATATATGACTATATATCTCAATTTGTCCTGCTACTACTCTAAATTTAGGTAGGGATTCAAAAAAAAGAGCTCTTCCATCTCTTGGAATTGTGAATGGAATATAAAATGACTGGAAAAATGAAATCAAAAAGAAAAAGAAAGGACAAAAATTTGAGCTTAGAATGGAGACACTAAAATCCATGGAAAACAGATAGATTTTAGGCAAGACTTCAAGAGGTTGTGAACATAATTGTGATGATTCATGCTCCTAAAATCCGAAAAATCAACATAGATTGAATAGACATCAGTCCTGAATACCGAGCAAAGCTATGGGATGTAAAGCCAATAAAATTGAACAAGTGCTTGTTGAAATTAAATGCCAACTTAGAACACTTATAGTATGTCATTTTCCTTTTCAGTATATGCATAATAAAATTCATACTTGTAAAACTGTCAACCACTCAGTTTGTTTTAAATCAGATCACTTTGATTATTACTTACTCAAGTTCTTCGATGTTTCTCATTTGCTCTCTATGTGCCAATATATTATTTTATTTGTGGATATCTATGACACTCTTTTTTGCCCAATCATTCAGTCACATAAAAGAATACAAGAATTTATTTGGAACTTTAGTCTCTAGGTTTAATGGGCTACGTGTGTATTATATACTTTGGTATTTTGCATATATTCCATCTGTTTGAGTGATTCCATGTATGTGGTCTTTGGTTTTGAATAATTTTTTATGGCTTATGCAGGTTGTGCAATTGTTTTCATGCTTGGACAAGATTAGCTATATTGAATGGGCCCTTGATTCTGAGTATATTCTTTGTGGTCTTTATAAAAAGCCAATGATACAGGCTTGGTCACTGAGCCAGCCAGAGTGGACATGCAAGATAGACGAAGGTCTTGCTGGTATTGCATATGCTAGGTGGAGCCCTGATAGTCGTCACATACTTACGACATCAGATTTTCAGTTGCGTTTAACAGTTTGGTCATTGGTAAACACAGCTTGTGTGCACGTGCAGTTGCCAAAGCATGCTTCCAAGGGGGTTTCCTTTACGAAAGATGGAAAATTTGCAGCGATTTGCACAAGGCGTGATTGCAAGGACTATGTAAATCTGTTATCTTGTCACTCATGGGAAATAATGGGCATATTTGCTGTAGACACTCTAGACTTGGCTGATGTCGAATGGTCACCTGACGATAGTTCTATAGTGATTTGGGATTCGCCTCTTGATTACAAGGTAATTCATCTTTCTACTTTTACTTTCCTAGCCCTCCTAACCTGTGAGATTTAGTAAAAAACAAGTCGTGGTTCAAAATATTCCATTGAATTTAAGTAGTCTGTGAATTGTATGAAACACCGACAATTCCCATTCTATCTCCGTTCAAACTGGCTATGGAATTGAAAATAATACTAATGTTTGGACATTTTATGATGGAACAAAAGAATGTTGGGAAGTGGGTGAAATAGTAGAAGGCATAACTTTATCATTGTTATTATACAATTACAAAGTAGTTTAATCTTATTTTCCATGGGAACAGGATATATTCCCTCAGGTCCATTCTATCCTATTTTAAGCAATTAAAATATTGGAATATTGGCAATTAGAGTCATTTTTGTTTTGATTCTTTTCATTCCTTTCCAACATTCCAAAGAAAATCTGAGAAAAGTACAACAATTATAATGCATACTATCTTGGTAAATAAACACTTTATACTTTGTATCTCATTACCTCGTTAAAAGCTCGTATCTGCCTAGTGTATAATTACATTAAAATTTGTGTTTAATGACTGGACCGGGCAATTGCAACTTAACCATGTCACACAATTGAAAACTCTTAGAATTTGGGTTGGTCCTAACTCAACCTTACAAAAATCGACTTTGAGGTGAGAACTGTCCCTCACTTATGAACATATTTTGTTGCGTGGATATAAATATTGAGTGGCCCGATAGTAGAAACCTGAAAGCTGGTGGTCCAATAGATCTAAGATAGTCTATGATACTATCTTAGAATTTGGATTGAGCCTAACTCTCCCTTACAAATCTGGCTTGTAAGGTGACAGCTCCCCAAACTTTTATAAACTCTACACATGACATATCTATAGGCAGTTTATAACTAAATACACCCCTTCACACCCAATACGGTGAAGGTGTTGGAGGCTCCAATGGAGGCAACCCAATTGCCGCAATGAGGCGGAATTTCATACAAAAACCGTTAGGCGGATCATCTTAAGCTGCCATATCGAAATAAAAACCATTAGAGGTAAATGTGAAGCCTCAAAATTTTGGACTACCAAAATGTCTCAAAAATGTTTAATTCTATAAATATATAATATGGCAAATTAATTATAAATGTTTCTCCAGTTGAGTTGGTAAATTGAAGGCCCGTATTCTCCTTATCTCAGGTTCAACCTTTGGCCTCAACCAGTTTTGATTATTTTATTTTATTTTAAAAGGTTTCTTTATAGAAGTTGCAATGTTAGTAAGTTATGCTAAAAACTTAATCATTTTTGTTTGGTAGGTCCTAATCTATTCGCCAGACGGAAGGTGCCTTTTCAAGTATGAAGCATATGAAAGCGGATTGGGAGTTAAAAGTGTGTCGTGGTCTCCTTGTGGTCAGTATCTGGCAGTGGGTAGTTATGACCAGATGCTGCGAGTCCTAAATCATTTAACTTGGAAGAAATTTGCAGAGTTTATGCACCCATATGCTGTCCGTGGCCCTTGTTATGCTGCTGTTTTCAAGGTTTTTCTTTTTGACACTTGTATTGTTCATGGTGTTGTAGTTTATGAAAACTTTATTTACCATGTTAATGAAATTGCAGGAGGTAGATGAGCCTCTGCAACTGGATATGTCTGAATTATGTTTGAGTGATGATTTTTCTCAAGGAAACGATGGTCAGCATATTTGTTGTGACTTTTTATTTTTATTTTTATCTGATTTAAGGTTTTCCAATTTAGTCCATGAGACACATTCCCTTTTTTTCTTATTTTTCTTTCTCTAAACAGATTCTTCAGAACGAGCTAATACAGTCAGGTACGAGGTTATGGAAGTTCCGATCAATTTACCATTCCAGAAGCCTCCTGCTGAGAAACCTAATCCCAAACAAGGAGTTGGTAAGCTGCACTTAACCAGGGTTCTTAATTCCATTATTTCACAGTAAATAGGAAGAAATTGAATTTTTGACATGGATATTGTTTTCTGGTCTATTTGATTTCTGGGTTGCGTAAATTTTAGCACAAAACCATACTGTGACAAAATGGAAAAATATATTAGCATGAATCTGTATCCATATATTTTTTCTCGGACTCTTGGATTGCATGACTAAACTAGTTTTTCTTTTAGGCATTTTGTCATGGAGCAACGATAGCCAATATATATGCACTCGCAATGACAGTATGCCTACAGTGCTTTGGGTATGGAATATCCGACAACTTGAGCTTACTGCAATCTTAGTGCAGAAGGACCCTATTAGAGTGGCAGCTTGGGACCCAACATGTACTCGCCTTGTTTTTTGCACCGGAAGCACACACTTGTACATGTGGACCCCGTCCGGTGCATTTTGTGTTCGTGTTCCTCTACCGCAATTTTCAATTACAGACCTGAAGTGGAATTCTGATGGCAGTTGTCTGCTCCTTAAGGATAAGGAGACATTCTGCTGTGCTGTTGTACCCTTATTGCCAGAATCTAGTGAATACAGCTCAGATGAATAATATGCTTACAAGGGAGGAAAACAAAATTATGGTAAATATCAACATCCATCTGTATCTTTATGCATGTGGTAGATAAGTGTATCTAAGGTTTAAGATCATATAGAAACCTGCAGTCGTAAATTCAAATTCTATGGTAGTATCTCTCCTTTTTGTCAAAATAGTGCATTTTGTTGACTGTGATGCCATTTATTTATGAACTATATTTGGACTCAAATCTGACGCCATGATAATATTTAGTGTTAGTCAGACTCCGAGGAGAGAAACATTTAATATAACAATGAAAACATCATATACATGACTATATTCAATTGCTGTAATTTTTTCAAATTATTATATGTTTTTACGTATGAGTGTCGTGTTTGGTGTTTGTCTATGGCGCTTTGTAGTTCTTTACAGTTGATTTTGTTATTTGAATTTATTTATGTTATTGCAGCCGGATACATATAGTTGTCCACAATGTCAAGCACCGAAAAAGAGGTTTGCTACATATGATGTTAACACAGGAAGAGCTATAGATGGTGGAGGGTTTGCCCCCAATTGGAGTATTGGACTTGTGGCTGGTTTAGGTGCTGTTGGAGCTTTGCTTGTTTTTGGTCTTCAATGAGGATATTATCATATACATTTTAGTGCAAACTGAAGCTTGTATCGTAGAAACTCATTCATTGTATTTGTATATATGCAAGTTGAAGCATTGTGAATGAGATTGAGCATGTTCTGCACAAAGTTCCTCTCGAAATAATAGGAAGTACTCTTTACACTTTATAGTGTGCTTTTACACCATCGTGAAAAGTCACAATTGTTTTTAGAATTCGGAGATGCGTCTCTGGATGTATTTTTTTTTGCACACTTTGTATCAATATTAGGGTGAGTTTAAAAATGTATATCCGTAACAACACTTAATTCAAAACTCATTGAATTTTATGGAGATTCCGGACACGTTTAATTTATAAACCCGCGCCCGACCTTTCCCCCTTTCCTCTTCATTTGCTACAAACACACTAAAACTCCATTTGAACTCGTGAGCAAGCTTCTTCTAGTTTATTTTTTAAGATTCAACACTTTCTATTTTACTACATTTAATCCCAGGTCATTGCACTCACTCCATTCATGATTTTCATCCACAACTCATTTGTAAGTTTTTCATTTTATTTTTTGAGATATGATGAATGTATTAGTTAAAATAGGTTATTTAAGATGCATTAGGTAGTAGTTACATTTGAAATAGGTAGCTAGTATAGACATGCATTCTCATTTGGTTGGAGTATAGGACAACAATGAAATTTTGGTCATTTCTGAAACCCGTGACGAGTTTATTTGGAGTTTCATATCCGAATTTTGTCTGAATTGATTTACAGAGATGCATATTCGGGTTTTGTCTGAATTGATTTACGGAGATGCATACCCGGGTTTGGCCTGATTGCATTTTGATGAGATATTCTTATTTTATTATATGTACAATGGCTGAAAACAATCAAGATAAGTTGAGGTTCAGTTGTGTGTTCCCACATGCGTTTGTACGACGTGAGAGGGTCAGGAGCAGGTCTACGAGACCATGAGTCAATGCTAACTCGTTTGATGGTTCAGAACCATCTGCATCTTGTCATATCTTAAATTTCATCTCCACCTTAAAATCATTCATCTGCATCATTTCTTATGATCATTCCAACTTTGTCATAGTCTAGAACTGGATGAAAACTCAAGTCAATAAACACCAGAGCGATGTATCATCCATTGTTGGGGATTGAGCTAATCTCAAATTTCAGCCTTATAGACTCGAGTATTTGGTAAAGAAGATCAATGAAAATCTTAGTCCTAATTTTTTATGGCCCTTACCAAATTACTAAGCTTATCAGCTTAATTAGATTTTTCAGTTGAAAGTAACATTCATTTGGTCTTTCATGTTTCTCTGTTGAAAAAAATCTTCACACTAATCACAAATCCTTAACCATTATGTCATGTATTGTTACAGGATTTAGAATTTCAAGTGGAACCTCAAGATCTCATGGTTGGAGGTGCTTATTCAATGGAAAGACTTGCCAACATTTAAAGTAACATGTGAAGCTTTTGAGGTCATCAACCAACAACTTCCTGATTTTCACCTTGAGGACAAGATCAAACTTTTGAAAGGGAGTATTGTCAGTAGACCTCCAATTACTAATGTGTATGTTAGGCGTAGGCCCAAATTACTTAATTAGATGTCATGTATATAAGTAGAATAAAATATGAGAAAGTCTTTAATTCAGTTTGTGATTGGTTGGTTTGGTTTGCGAGAGAGTGGGTTCTCTAATCCTAATGGTTGTATATAGTTAATTGTGTATATATAATTGTTGATGCAGTTTGTAACTGCTATTGCAAGAAGTTATTCCTTGTATAACTACAATAAAGTATTGTATATACGTGTATCATTCTCCCCTTATTTATCATTATTATTCATAATCTATCACAAACCAACAAATATTCTCATTGAGAAAAATCATAGCATAAGTCTTAAGGAGGAAAGTGACAAAGTTGACAAACATTAATGTTAGAGATTAGTCGAGAAAAAATTTACTTGGCACATACTTGTCTAGATTTGCCATATGCGTTCGTTACGGCCTTCCAATTTATGCACGATCAAAGAGAAAGAGGTTTGCAAGATGTAAAATGTGTTCTACAATATCTCAAAGTCACTATAGAGAGAAAAACGATCTTATTTAAAAGAAGAGGTGGAACTCAAACTATGAAAGCTCACACCAATGTTTATTATGCATGTTCAATGAGTGATGGTAGATCTACTTCAGACTACCTTCTTGTGTGGGAACCTATTTTCTTGGAGGTGTAAGAAACAAAGTGTAGTTGCTCAATCAAGCACTAAAGCAAAATTTAGAGCTATGTCACAAAAAATGGGATAGTGGATTAATAACTACGATCTACATTCTTTCTAGGTATTGACTGACATATATGTCGTCAAGAGTTAACCCACATAGTTATTCAACTAACTTACTTGCAAGCTTGAAATGATTGATGTTTATTCACCATCTTAATAAGAGTGTTGTAAATATTAGACTGTAAATAGCAATTTGTAATATTAGTCTGAGACCCATTAAGCAAAATCTATTAGATTTACTTTTCATTTCTATTTAAGTATGATTATTTTCATAATTATAGTTACAACTTTCAGTATCACAAAAAGTTGTTGATTTATAAATATCAACAACTTATTTATATTAACACACGCACGCACGCACGTGCGCACACACACACGCACGCACGCACGCACATATATAAATTCTTCCGCTAAAGATTGAACCACGAACTAGCAGGTTATGAGACAACCTATGTCTTATTAGTAGAATTCTAATGAAAAACCTAAAAATCTTTATAAAAATACTGAAATTTTGAAACTTTTAAATAACAAGATTTAACTGATTAAAACATACTGCTTTATATATATATATATATATATATATATATATATATATATGTTTTCAATTTTTACATAGAGTTTGACATAGCTAAGACTAGTGGCACAACCACATAGTTAAAACTTAAAAGAACAGTACATAAAATAACTCAAAAGAAAGCATAACAAAAAGGACTTCCTAAGTTCAAAGAGACTGACACTTATACCAACTGTATATAATATCTTGTAATAGTAGAGATGTGATCAGCATTTGACAAAACGCTAACAACCTTTAATATTGATGTCGTCGTAATTCAACTTCATGTCACTCCTTTGCCTTCACTCTTGGACTATCGGGATGTAAGAAGGGGTCTAGTTCGTCATCTGATTGCCATAGATCAATCGAAAGATGCAAGATAAAAAGAATGAGTGGCTAAGATTTTCATACAAATTTAAAAGTGGGAATGAGGTGTAAAATAATGATATATATGTCAAGCACAAGTAATCAATCAAGCGCGCCATCTTCAAATATTTATATATATCCCGACACATTTCTAAATTATATGTTGACTTAGGCCAAACATTGTCGAGGATATCTATCCTATTTACCAAGATTAAATATCACAAAACCACATGCCACCAATGTCCTCCCATTTACCAAGAGCAACGCCTTTTGACTTCACGTGGAGTCTAAGTGTTATAAGACGATCACCCTTAATAAAATAGACCAAGAATTAATTATCTTGCCAAATGCACAGTAATAATCCTCGTCGGGATTCAGGAAGTTGATCAACCTCGTGTGCTCATACACACGGCAGTGGACTTACACATTCCTAAATGCAGTCTACACGTACTTTCAATCTGATTATGGCAACTCTAACCCCAAGTAATAATTTAATCTTCAAGAATTCATCGTTTCAGTTCTTACGTACGCTAAACACCTACGTTGAGTTTCAATTAGTATTAACAACCTCAAAATGTATTATTATTAATTCACCTCATAACCTTACATCTACCTAGTAAATTCAATTCATACAATGAATAGAGTATGGTTGATTTCCCAAAAAAGAGAGGCGGATCGTAAAAGACATAGTCAACCAAGTAGGCTTATTTATCTCTAGTAGGGCTTGAGCCCCCACTACACATATATTTTAAGCTATTTTACGCTAACCGTCCCAACGTGTATGAAATATTTCCCCCACTTTTTGTTGTTGCGAAAATTTCCTCAGCTTTGGTTTTAAATCTTGAAAAGAACCTAATTTCCTCCGATCGTCAGGTTGTTAGGAAATAATAATATATAGTTAATTAATTATAACTTATAAAATTTTATTTTAAAACCTTAAGGGTCCGTTTGGCGGGGTTGATAAGGAGACTAGATATGATAAAACTATCATATCCTACTCTAATTTATTGTTTGGTGCATCAATAGGAAAGGATAATTTAAACATATTACTAATCATATCCTATTACCCCTTTGTTATTCTAATCTTTATTTTAAGCTGGGTTAGCACAAGGATAAGATGATTAAAACAAAAAAAAAAACACTTCTTCTAACCTTCCATCTCACGTTCCTTTTCTCTCTTTCACGTTCCCTTACCTTTCTACTGTTCCATAATCT